GTTCTGTGACAAATAATCATATGTGTTTATATACATATATATACCCAGCAAACACAATGTTACATGTAACGTACATGTTAGTTGTAGTTTCCTACTCAACAATGAAACTGTTATATAACATGTGTGTTACATGACAGTTATATCGTTGAGTAGAATGTTACAACTAACATATACATTACATGTAACACTGTGTTTGTTGGGTATATATTCAACTTTACTGTGTTTTATCTTGTTTCTTTTCAGAAAATTAAGTGCAGGTATAAATAAAATATTAAAGTGCATCCAGGATCGCCAATCCGCGTTGAGAAAACCAGAAGGCTTACTTATTACAACTATTCAACAAATGCAGGAGTTAGAACAATCAACAGAAGAATATTATACCGATGTTGTAAGTAAAATTAATACCTTTTACGTCACATGAAAATTACGTACATAATATACTGCTTGTTTTAGGTTAATTACTTTCATTATATTGGCGGCTTCACTTTGAAAGAAGCAACTAATCTTTGCCTCAGAGAGGGTTTGCACGACTCACTAGCGCCGTTAGAGAGAGAGAGAGAGAGAGAGAGAGAGAGAGAGAGAGAGAGAGGGAGGGAGGGAGGGAGGGAGGGAGGGAGGGAGGGAGGGAGGGAGGGAGGGAGGGAGGGAGGGAGGGAGGGAGGGAGGGAGGGAGGGAGGGAGGGAGGGAGGGAGGGAGGGAGGGAGGGAGGGAGGGGAGGGAGGGAGGGAGGGAGGGAGGAGGGAGGGAGGGAGGGAGGGAGGGAGGGAGGGAGGGAGGGGAGGGAGGGAGGGAGGGAGGGAGGGAGGGAGGGAGGGAGGGAGGGAGGGAGGGAGGGAGGGAGGGAGGGAGGGAGGGAGGGAGGGAGGGAGGGAGGGAGGGAGGGAGGGAGGGAGGGAGGAGGGAGAGGGGAGAGGGAGAGGGAGAGGGAGAGGGAGAGGGAGAGGGAGAGGGAGAGGGAGAGGGAGAGGGAGAGGGAGAGGGAGAGGGAGAGGGAGAGGGAGAGGGAGAGGGAGAGGGAGAGGGAGAGGAGAGGGAGAGGGAGTGGGAGGGGGAGGGGGAGAGAGAGGGGAGGGGGAGAGAGGGGAGAGAGAGGGGAGGGGGGTGAGAAGGGAGAGAGGGGGAGAGAGAGGGGAGAGGGGGAGAGGGAGGGAGGGGGAGAGAGAGAGGGGAGGGGGAGAGAGGGGGGAGGGGGAGGGGTGAGAAGGGAGAGAGGGGGAGAGAGAGGGGGAGAGAGGGAGAGGGAGGGGGAGAGAGAGAGAGGGGGGGGAGAGAGAGAGAGATTAGTATTGTCATCCAACAAGAAATGTGCTTCTTTCGCAGATGCTGTATGTAGAAACAACTACTTTGCAAAACCTCAGAAGTCAGAGTTCCAGAAGTAGATGCGGGAGTCTTTGCGTGTAATGAAAGAAAGAAACCGTATGAGAGGAAACCGTGGACGCCAACACAATCTTGCCCGACTGAACGCAGAGCATTTGTGGGACGAGGAGGAGGAAGAATACAATGATGATTGACAATATAAATCAGGTAAGTTAAAAATATCCGTTGCACATTTTAAGACGAGAAGTGAGAATGAAAAAGATGATGCTGATAACGTCGATGGACAAGTCTGGGGAAGAAAGTCCAATATCTCTCTTTTAGATCAACATACTGAATTACAAAAATTGGCTGAAGGTATTAAACTTTTGGAATGCTTTAAAAAAACCGCGCCGTCAGTGTTAATATTTGCGAAGAAGAAGCGCGACGTGGATGCTATCCACGAATATCTGCTAATCAAAGAAGTGGAAGTTGTTGCAATACATGGAGGCATCGGTACGTCGTATTTCAAAGCACTGGGACTGTTAATAAATTGTATTAATATTTCGAAGTTAAACATCATGTAGATAAATTAAGTCTATATCATGATATTTATTTTCTTATTTATTCTAGTATGTATAATATTCACAAACATTGTCAATTACAGATCAGAAGAAAAGATCACGTTCTGTCGAAGCGTTTCGCGCAGATCAGAAGGACGTTCTGGTTGCGATAGATGTTGCGTCCAAATGTCTCGAGTTTGCTGATGTGCAACACATAATAAATTATGATATGCCACATGATGTGGAGAATTACGGTAATATTTCATGATTTAATCTACAATTTAGGTTATTGCATTAGAAGAACTCAATGTTAATGTACCTCTCTTAATATAATTCACAGGATAGGACGTACTGATCGTTCCGGACGTACTGGCATCGCGACGGCTTTCATTAATAAGGCAAACGATGAATCGGTGTTGCTTGATCTCAAATATTTGCTAATGGAGGCGAAGCAGGAAGTGCCGTCATTCTTGTTGAAACTTTGCTCGGAAACCGAAAAATATCTCAATCTGGGAAGTAAGATGATAATTGCAATACATTTGCTTTTTTCTTGTGATGTTTAAATCACAAGCGAACACTAGCGTTGATTGCGCCTACATTTGCGTGCGAGCGAGCGAGCTTTTTCTTTATAGCTTTTTCCTTATAGCTCGCTCGCTCCTCGTCGTTCGCGCTCGCTCGCTCGCTCCTCGTCGCTCGCGTTCGCCTCTTGTTGTTTACGTTGCCCCTCGCCGCGCGCGCTCGCCTACCGATACTCGCTGACTCCGCCTGTATCAAATGTCTATGTGCTTACTGCGGTCGCCCTCCGCTCTCTACGCGCTCGTTGGCTCACATGTTTTAATTAATAACTCGATAACTATTGCCAATTTGACATTATGGTCATGACACATAACTTTTCTTCTCGGCTACACCCAATCTATCTCCAACTTTCGTCTGCATGATCAGCTATCAAACACCCTGTATATATATATAATATATATATATAAAAGATCTTTTAGTATATGTTAAAGCGCTGTAAAAATAAAATATGTTACGAGAAACAAAATCTTATAAAATTGTTACATTCGTGTTATGTTTACGGAATAATTATGCAGAGAATCGATAGACAAGCGCGAAGAGTTCCTGCACTCCGCCAACTTCAAGGACTCCTTCATTTCATCGAAGAAATGCACTCACGAAAGAGACCAAGCAAAGCATATCGCAAGCGTTATTTTTATTAAAAATGTTTCTCATATATTTACAAAATAAAATTAATATTGTATACTTACAAATACCAATTCTAACTTCTTTATTCAGAAATACCAATTCTAACCTAACGACCAAGGTTATATACGCCATGCGTATCATTTAAAGCGATCAGCTGATTTAATGCAAGCGTTGCTGCGAATTTGCTGTCAACTTGCACTCAAGTCTTGAGTTCAAGACCTTGCTCCGGTGTTGCCGCCAACTTGCTGTCCAGTTATGTGCGCAAGGTTTGCGTGCTGTTTGCTGCAAATTTGCATCAAATGCTTGATGTCAAGGTTTGCAGCTAAATCTATAGCCTCAAGATGCCGCAGATGACTATGGTTTTGGCATCAACATTTGATCAAATTTGCTGCCAATTTGCGTGCAACTTGCTCTCAATTTGCTTGCTGGGTTCAATGAGATATTTTCAATTAAATAATATAAAGATATATTGATATAAGTAAGATATATTAATTAAGAATAATTAAACCGCCTTTTTATTATATCTTTATTATTTATAAGTATAGTTTATACTCAAATACATCGATAATGAAATAATAAAATTTCATATTTTAAAAATATTTTTATTATAAGATTATAATTGCACTTTTATTTATTTAAATATATATTATGAGTAATACTACACTTTTAAGTACATATATATATAAACAAAATATTCCTTATTCTTTATAATTAATAATAATACTTTGGCATATAATGTATAGTAATTTAAAATAAAATAAATATCATTGGCGAGACTTTCCATAAAAGTAAATCTATATTTACTTACCAAGTTATTGAAAAAATAAAAAAGTTAAGATCTTAACTTTAAATAGTAAAATTTAAACAATTTTGACATATAAATAAAATATCTACATAGAAACAAAGTATTCTTTATAATTAGTAATACTTTGGTATTATTTACTTTAACATAGTTTTAAAAAGAAAGGCAATTTCAAAAACTAATACTAAAATAGTAATGTACTAATATTACTATAATGTACTAATATTAATCATTTGCACAAATTGTCTAGTATATGAAAGTATTCAAATTATTCAGAATCTGAAGCTTCAGCTTTAAGTAATTTTTTGAGAAGTTTACATTTTTCTTTTTCTATTGCCATTTTTTCTGCATGTGTAAGATAGGATAGGGGGCAGCACCACCTGGGAGCACGATACGATGACGTGATCCAGGGAGATGCAGCCGGTAGAACAAAAAGGCGATAAAAGACAGAGGTTGAAAATATAGAGACACAGAGAAATAGAGAGTCGAGAGAGATAGGTAGTCGTTAGGCGATAGTTAGACGATCGAATAGAACTAAATAGTATAGTAATAAGTTTTAAATGTAATTGTCACATAATGGTAATTTATTAAATACAGTGATTCAAGATACCAGTGAGTAATATTTATTAAGTAACCGAAAATACCAGATCTCTTTTAAAATTTAAACGGAGTTGAGATAGTATATGATAAGGAAATTCTTACAAATTTAATCAGAAGTGGGATACTGTCCCATCGCGCCGTGTGAATAGCCGTCGGATAGTTCATGGCACCGTCGTATCTCAACGAAAGAAAGTTCCGATCGCTAGCGTGAGTACAGAGTAAAGAAAGAATATTTGGCGTAATTTTCGGTGGAAGACACGTCAACTGGAGCTCTGTGGAAAACCGACGAAGTGATGTCCACAGAAAGGGGGAAAGCGAGCAGCATGGATCGCAGCGCACTGGATCGCCTGACGTTGGAACAGCTGCAAGAGGAAGCGGCAAGATATAAAATATCGAGCTCCGGTAATCGAAATAAGCTAATAGAGGCAATAATAACTCACCTGGAGCGATACGGACCGGTAGGAGATTTGCTTGAGGAAGAGATGATACGAGGCTGCTCCAAGCAACGGCAAGCACATTTCAGCAGACGACCACCGCTTTGGCAGAAGGCATCGGCAAGATGCAGCGGCAGATGTAGTCCCAACAATAGCAGTTTCTACAAGTGCAACAAGGTCAATACGAACAATTGATAAGAACGATTTTGTCGCAACCGCGATTATTGCCGTCGACATCGCGGGAGGCTACGCACCTCGCACCGACGGAAAGTCAGACGAGCGGAAACAGTTCAGCTAGCAGAAATGGAGCTGCATCTCTGCAACAGACGGAGAATCCGGACGGATCGGCGATCTCCGTGTCGGGGCTTATGTCCCAAACCCCAGCGTTCGCCGGAACTGAAGAGGAGAGTGCCAAGTTATGGATACAACGAGTAGAGCAAGTCGCAAGGATCCACGGGGCATCGGATGGAGTGATCCTTTTGGCGGCGACGGGCCAGATGGTAGGCATGGCAAAAACTTGGTATAACTCCCTCACCGAAACCACCCTAGAAACATGGACAGGGGTAAGAAACGAACGAACGTTAAAAATTTTTGATCGGGAAGTATCGTTTACCAGAACAATGACAAAAATTGAAAATCGGAAGTGGAGCATGGCGCGAGAGTCTTTTGATACCTATGCATTGGAAAAATTGACACTGATGCACAGGCTGGAGTTGAATACGCGAGATAAAATTCAACTATTGATCGGGGGCATACCGGCGGGTACATTGAGAGCAACGGCCCTGTCATTGGAGTCGGAGTCGATAGACGAATTCCTCGCAAAGATGAGACGAATCGCGGAGGGAACGGGTGACGTGGAAAGAAAAACACCAGTGTCAAATCTTAATGTCCGTAATAGGAATAATAATTGCCGAAATTGTCAGCGCAGAGGGCACACCCATAAAGAGTGTCGGTTCGAGCCGACGTGCTTTTACTGCAAGGCCAAGGGTCATCGGCAGTATGACTGTCCGGCTCTTCGAACAAGAGAAGGCTCTCAACAACAGAGTCGGCGATATAATCCTCCAGCTTCGGCGAGTAGACGACCGCAGGAGGATGTGCCGCAACGAGACACGGTGGCAGCGGTTCAGGAAGCGACGGACACTCTACACCTGGATAACCCATACGCCAAAGTTGTAAGGCTGATGAGTGAGCGAACTGATTTTATAGCGTTAATAGATACGGGGAGTCCGGTCTCTTTCGTAAATTATGCAATTTATAAAAATGACATAAGTAGATTTTGTAATGCAATTTTGCCGGTAAATGTGGTTCTAAAGAATTTGAAAAATTAACCGCTTGATATTGTTGGATCGGTTAGTGTAAATTTAAAATTAGATCTTTTATACAAAGAGTTTAGAGATATCCGTTTGTTTATATTATATGAAAAAGTGTTCGAAGGGGATATCATTTTAGGTCGCGACTTTCTCTCTAAAGAAAATCTCACTCTTATTTTTCGGCCGGATAATAAAGAACGACAAACAGCTCTGTTATTCGAATAGTTACCTCTTTGTGTCGAAGCGAGTTTATATGAAAATACCTTTATCAATAATCTAGAAGGAATAATAAACGATTTCGGGGAGGAAACGAACAATAGCCTGAAAAATCTTTTGTTAACAATACACAATAAGGACATACCAAAAATAGACGACGGATATGAAGTCGAGGTACGCCTCAAGGACACTAATATTTTTTCGTTTGCGCCGCGTCGCTTCGCACAAGCCGAACGTATACAGTTGCGGAATATTACGGATGATTTGATAAAAAGAGATATTATCAAAACAAGCACATCTCCCTATTGCTCACGAGTTGTGCCGGTACGGCGAAGAAACGGAGATTTGCGTCTCTGCCTCGATCTGAGATCCCTAAATAGTAAAATCGAGAAACAAAGGTATACATTCCCAATTATAGAAAATTGCTTAGCAAAATTGGCGAACAAATCGGTATTCACGTTATTAGATTTAAAGGACGGGTTTCACCATATAAAAATTAGATCGGCCGATACAAAATATTTTTCTTTCGCTACACCGGATGGTCAATTCGAGTACAAATGCTTGCCATTCGGATTTTGTGAAAGCCCGGCGGAATTTCAAAAACGGCTGATATAAATATTGAATACGTTAATCCGACAAGAAAAGATCGTGGTATATATTGATGATATTCTCTTTCCGACAGAAACGGTGCAACAAAATCTAGATATTTTCGAAGAAGTGTTAATTACTTTAAAGAGTTATCGTTTCGATCTTAATTATAAATCCAATTTTTAAGGAAGTTAATAGAATTCCTTGGATATATAGTGTCGGAAAGTGGAATGACATTAAGTAAGCGTCACTTAGAAGCGGTACGTAACTATAAACAGCCGACAAATTTGACTCAGTTGCAACGATTCTTAGGGCTGACGAATTATTTTAGAAAATTCATTAAGGATTACGCGTTAAAAGTTAAGCCGCTTCAAGAATTACTGAAAAAGAACGTTAAATTCAAATATAATCACGATAGCGGAAATGCATTTAATTTGCTAAAAGAGGAACTTACTTCTTCGCCGACGTTGAAGTTGTACGACCCCGCGGC